TAGAACAAGCACTTGGCCTTACTAATGGACAGTACCTATTTATGGTTTAGATGGTATAAATGAATTTGACTTTTGACTTTGTTAATCTCTATGTGTCTTGGACGAATGCTTACGATTGAAACAAAATCAATTGTTACAGAACATATCCCATTTTGTAAATGTGTACCTGCTCTATACCTTGATCTACATTGTGGTGGTCATCTTCCTGCTCATAGGCTGTCTCATCACGGGGCACGCAGACATCGGTTTTGTGTTGTGGGCTTTAATAAGTATAAGTGAGTTTCCTTTCATGTTTTACAACATTCTTTTATTATAAGGCTGTCCCTTTCCGCCACGACCGCCCAGAACCAGGATCTATAGTAGATACCACCATTAACCGGAGCACTGTTGGTTGATACATTGTAGGGGCATAACATGATATGAATCCCACAACGAAACAATTGACAAAAAGAAATAAAAATCTCAATAGTTTCTCGGTAAATTTAATGCACGAGATAGAATGAATTAGTCAAAAAAAATCAAGATTTTTAGGTCAGAGTTAGTCTAAAAGACTGCTCAGAAGAAGAAGAAGAAGCCATGTGCCACGGGTATTTGGCTAAAACTACAAGGCAGTGTGTATTTTAAAGAGTCGAAATAAACCTTTAATAATATTGATGTACCTAATAGATAATTGCTTAAAAGTTACGACTTGGAACAGACCAACAGACTATTTATTTTATTGTATTATTTAAAATCAATTTTCACTGTGACATTTCAAAAGTTTGACTGTGACCTTTTTTATTTTCAGTTCTGTGTATTTATTTCTATTTAGTGATTCGAAGTTACTACTTGAAAGCCACTTCTTCAGGAGAATAGAATGTTGACCACTGCACCACTGGATCTCAATTCATCGTGCCGACTTGTTTTATAAGTAAATAGAACGGGTTGACAGAAGACTTAATGCTTACACAATAAAGCTTTTTAAAAAAAATATTTGTTTTTTCATATAATTTTAATATTTTAATTTTCTTAAATCTTTTTATATTTGTTTTAGACCTTTTTATAGAATAGGAGGCAAACAAGCGGGCGGATCACCTGATGGTAAGTAATCGGAAGCCCATGGACACCTGTAAAACCAGAGGAGTCACGGGTGCGTGGCCGGCCTTCTAAGAAGGAGTACGCTCGTTTCTTGAAGATTTAAAGGTAGTTTCGGTTCGGGAATATCGCCGCCGTAAGATCATACCAAAGTTTTGCTATGCTGGGCAAAAGTCGCACAGTTGTTGATTGCCAACCATTTATGTATATATAAATATATAATATCTATCATATATACAGGGTGTAAAAATACACTTAACGAAGCCATTAACTACGTATACTGCAGTTCTAACTAAGTAGCTTTACGCTAAAATTATCACTGGGAAACGACTTTTATTTTTAGGTATAAAAAAAAATTATAATTTTATTGCGCGCAAAGTAAAGCAAACGGTCTTCGTGTCATTGTGTTCGTAGGTTCACAGCTTAGCATTAAAACGCTGTGATAAGTACGTAGGTCGACGTTTTACTTCGCAACAACAAAACAATTCTGTAAAATAAAAATCCTACTGAGATGCACGATGTTTTTGTGCGGGTCTGCATTTATTTATTACGTACATTACTGTTCGCAACATCAAATGAGTAATTTATTTAGAAAAATCGAAAATTCAGGTAATGTTTGTTTGGAAAAAAGTTTTGTAATAATACTTAGAATTCGATTGCGCAAAAAATCTTTATATATAAAAATTGATTGCAAAATGTGTTGGTTAGCGCATAACTCAACAAAGCCTGGACCAATTTCGGTAATTCTTTTTTTGTTGTGTTTGTTATTGTCAGGAGAAGGTTCTTATCAAAGAAAATACTAGAAAGTTGAGGGGAAGATTAGGAAAAAGTGACCCTTTGATAGCGAGATAGTTGGACCCGTGCGAAGCAGGGGCGGGCCGCTAGTAAAAAATAAAAATGGATCTTTGACCTTCAATATCTCGAGAACAAGCGGAGTCCCAGCTATGGTCTTAAAGAAAAAAATTATCCAAATAATGGATAGAATACGTGGCTTTCGGCTTCGTTAAGTGTCTTTTTACACCCTGTATAATATAAATAAAGAAAATTTCGTACCTACATGCAAAGTCAGACATATGAAAACACCGAAGCTCGTCTGCAAAATATAACCTAACACAAGTATATGACTCGCACGCACTCTCCCTCAGAGGCTTTCCCATACCCACACGTACGTTTACAATTACGCCACACATTCATCAACACAACCAACCCATGCACACGTACGCACACGTTCATATAATTATTTTCATATATTTACTTACTTTTTTTATTGTGTTTAATGTAAATACTTAGTGTTGTGAAGGAGCGGAGTCTTTAAATACAGGCACTATCTGCTTAAATAAAGACTCCAAACCCAATATTGTTTGCGTATGTTTTTTAAACACAATAAACGTTTATTATTATTATGTATGTGATGGGGATGAAGACGCTTTCGCGTAGAACGATAACGGAAAGATGCGGCGGGGGATCAAACCGAACTATTCCTCAGAACACTCCTCGTGATATATGCGATATAGTACTGTAGTAATACACATAATAAATATTAAATTTAAAATAGGAAGAAAAATAAAATGAAATTGTTTACGGAGAAAGTTTTCAGAACACTGGCGGTATTGCCATATTACAATGCCAATGCTAACTTTTTGGGAAAATTGATAAATATTGTTGCTCGAAGAGTAGACGGGAATTTTTTTTTTTACTTATATCTTAGCTAGCTAGCTATGCTCCCTTTATTTGATTACCTACACTACTCTACCGTACTACAACTATCTACCGTACAAAACTTCCCCTTCCCTACCTATCCTATCCTACAATCCTATCTTGTTCTTCTTCAGAGTTTAAACTACACCTCAACGAAATCGATCCTGCCGTTCTTGAGTTATAAAATGTATAAGTAACAAACACTGTAACAAACATGACCTTTTATATGTGTCTATAAGTGAGACGGAGCGTCATGTCAACATCGACTTGTATTTGGATTGTGCGTTGGCAACACTGTGAAACTGTCATAGACAAGTGACAGCTCAACGTCAAGCACTATGGTTGATTTACCCACGCTTTTTGAACGAGATTCCGGACCCAGTTTGTGCCAACGTATAGCCGACTTCACCGCGTTCCGCTTGCAACTTGGCATTATTTGATTAAGCCATTGTTTGCAACACAGTTTCAGTAATAAATCAAGAGATACGTAAGTATCTTTATTTGCGAACCCAAACGAAAGAAGAATATTTTAAGTACCTGGTGGTAGGTTTTTATCTACTACTACTACTTAGCTTTCGCCCGCCACTTGGCACGCGTATAAATGTAATGCATTCCGGGATTTTTAAAACAGCAACTATAATAACACGCAAATTGTTTACTTATAATTTATAACTTACCGTAAGTTCGGGTTACTTTGACCCTGGGAGGTAACTTTGATCCAAATTTTCGAACCCATGAAAAACTAATATACGTTTGATTCTCAGTTATTATTGGTTAAAGGGTTTGGATCAAAGTTACCCCGTAAGGTCAAAGTAACTCGAACTTACCCGGTATACGACTCAGGAACATTGTAGCTATATATCAATGAAACAATTTTGGGAATTCGACCAGCTATAAAAGTTATATTAAAAGAGGTAACTTAACTTACTATAGATACCTAATTATATAATATGTTGCTTTGATTCTCAGATTGCTTAGTGCAAGTTTGCTTTACGTTACGGCGATCAACACGCTTATGACTTTGGGCGCTCTGATTGGCCGGTTCCAAGAACCAACCAATCAAAGGTCTTGATGCGGTAACGTTTAGATTACGTTAACAACTACTATTGGCTATGTGCGCCACGATGGCGACGCGTAGCGTTTACAACATTTGCGGAAGCCGTGTAAACTTTATAATTTTCTTTGCAAATAAATAAAACCAAAGATTAAAATAGTATTGTTAAATATGTAATGAATATAATAATAAAAACCGGCTTTAAAACTACGCATAATATTAGTTTCCAACCACGAACTGAGACAAAAGCTAATAAATTTGTATTACCCGAGCATGATTGTATGGAATGTGGAAAAACTGCGACATAAAAGCCAGCGCTACTTAATACGAGCCATTTTGTACTACAATCAACATATTTGACAGCTGATCATCCGCATTAATTGTTTCCAATATCTGCCGCGTTGTGCGCTGCGGTCTTTATCTATCACTACTCGCTTTGCATATAGCCAGAAGTACGAAAATAGAATGTGACTATTGTAAGTGTGAAGCGAGTCCTGTTTCCTCAAAAAGGAATGTCCATTAATTTGCACTTGTAAATTCTAACCGAGCAATACCTATACACCAGTTTCCGTCTTTGGTATTTTACCTCATTACAGCTAACTGGTTGACAGGATAACCACAAAAAAACAACTTATAATTAAAGTGCCATATAAATACTGACTTGCATGGTGTAAACAAGGAGCTTAAACAATACAGTAAGCCGTAATTATAATGTAAAACGTAGTCGTGGTGGCCCGGAGGTTAAGGAACCCCCTTCTCATGCATGAGGGTGTGGGTTCGTAACCTGGCAAGTACCAATGTGACTTTTTCTGAGTTATATGTACTTTCTATGATTATTTAGACACATACAGTAAAGGTAAACATCGTGAGGAAACCTGGACTTATAAGTTTGAAATCGCCAACCTGCATTGAGCAAGCGTGGTGATTAATGCTCTAACCTTCTCCGTGTGAGAAGAGGCCTTTGCTCAGCAGTGAGAACTTATAGGCTGACGATGATCATGATAATGTAAAACTTCAAATTACTGAAATTAATGAGGGCTTTCGATACTTTTTCTGCCGCCAGGGGGCGCTTCGTATGCGTCAGGTCCAAACAGCTGTCAGATAGCACAGATTGTTACGGAAGTGTTATTGATTTTATTACGGCTACAAGCAACTGTTTTTTTTTATGTAATAGGTTGGCAAGCGAGACGACGGATTACCTGATGGTAAGCAATCAGCGCCGTCAATGGACACTCGCAACGGAGGAGTTACGAGTGCGTTGCCGACCTTTTAGGGATTAGGGATTTGGAGATTTAGGGACTGGGGAGGGTTTGGGAAGGGGAAGGATTGGGCCTCCGGTAACCTCACTCACACGGCGAAACACAACACTGTGGTTGTTTCACGCCGGTTTTCTGTGAGGCCGTGGTATCACTCACATCACTCACCTGGAAGCAAGGAAAAGAATATGCTACTGATAATATTTAGAAGGCGTTAAATCCAATGCACAACAATAAAGATGTTATGAGGATAAGACGGATACGCGTTGGAGTGTGAAATCGTTAATAAGCACGATGTCATATCCGTTTCATGGTTTATACACGCATGCTATACGAAGGCCAAGCACCAAGCATGACCAAAAAGTTTCTACTAATAAAAAAAGATAATCAACGCTAAATTGCATTGTTTTATTGCAACAACTTCTAAACTTTAGTAGAGGTTGATTTAGGTGAATTTAAATAATCCGCTAAATACCGGATAGTACAATTAGTTGCTTATTACGGCAGACAAATATTGCTAGGGATCCTCGCCTTTTGGTAATGAAAAAAAAAAACAAAGATATTTTCACAGTTTGTTGATCAAAGGGATAAAGAAAAAAATAGCAAAATCCAATCATGTAACCTTCTATCTAAAAGTTTTTGTAGTTCTAATGATATCAAAATTTTATTCCCTATTATTGAGTAAAGAATAAAGTGAACATTTTGTTTTCCAGACTATTCTGCGAAAAATGATTTTTACCGCGGTCTGTTCCGTACACAAGACAGCTAAGAACAGCTGAATTTATTACCTGTATTCCTTAGAGCCGATTTTGTTCCGAAAACAATTGTTAAGGATTTTCTTTGACTCTGAGTACGTTTCATTCTAAGTTCATGACTTTTCTTCCTCAGGGAGAGGTGAAATGGGAGTATCAGGCTTTTACTGCACTATGCACGTGGTCCTCATTGCGCTTGCACTGCAAACCCGGTTGATCATATCAAAGAGATCATCATCTCCTATGTTGTGTATGTAGGTTTTATTATCCGAATTAGAATAATCATGTTGATATGAAATTCTTAAAGAATGTTAATATAGGTAGGTTTTTGCACGTTTAAAATAAACCTCAATACTGTTAAATGAACCTTTTTTTTACTTGGATTAAGACTTTATTTTCCTTTTTCAATTTTTATGCAAAACTGTAGCTTAATTCCTCAGTGGATCTCAAAGCATTTTATTACTAATCGTGTTAGGAAATAATTAACAGAGTGTGTTAATATGCATAAATGTAAAATAAAATTTAATTAACTTGTCTTACATGTTTACGTACACGCAACCTGGTTATCGGATAGTTACTTCGAAGCAAACTAGTGAAGTTAATATTCACAAACACAATAAGCATAGATCATCAGTGTGTAATCGCATAATATTTAATGATAGTTATAACAACACCCTGTAGTTTGAATACGATCTCGTTATGGATCGAATTACATTTTATGTGAATCAAAACAAATGCTCCGGTAAGTACCCACCTACGGTTTTTCTATAAGTTTCAATAAGGTCAATTCATTAAAGAAAGTCATAAAATTTAAAATTACCTAGTAATGATTCAAGTATTTGAAAGAAAACCTTTGAATAAAGTCAATCCATCATATACATATCTCGATTACAGTAGACAATTTACATAGAAATATTCATACAAAAATATTTTTACCCTTAGATAAAAAGGAACAAACAATACAAGTTTGTATTGAGGATCTGTTCCAGTCAATTTTGTTTTTAATTCGAATATCTGTTGACTGCAGTGGGTCCCGAGGTGGACTCAGACACTTCCCTGAATGACTACATCCGCAACCATCTGAACCTGCGCGGCACCAAGTATATGTGCAAGGAGGGTGGTTGCGGCGCATGCATTGTTGCAGTCACCGTCAACGACCCCCACCGTCGGACCTTCTCTGTCAACTCGGTTAGTACCAGTGCCACTACAAAACTCAGGCTCTTGTCTTAGCAACTACAACAATAACTTCTGAATCTAACCCTCATCAAGTTTGGAAGGTGTCGTATCTTCAAGACAGCATAAGCTATTTTAAACAACCATTCATTACTACATTGTTATATACATGCACATATTGTCATAACAATTTTTTCTTAGTGTCTAGTCTCCATAACATCATGTCAAGATTGGGAGATCACTACAATAGAGGGCATCGGCAACCGAGCGCGAGGATACCACCCTGTGCAGAAGACCCTAGCTGAGTACAACGGCACCCAGTGCGGGCACTGCAGCCCAGGGTTTGTGATGAGCATGTACAGGTAAGCATCTCTCGGTGAAGTTAATAAACACAATACATTTGAGTAACATTTATTTTAATTATAATATTTCTATCTTCAGCCTACTGGAAGCAAACGGCTACGACTTAACTCAGTACGAGATTGAGAACTCTTTCGGTAGCAACACCTGTAGATGTACCGGCAGCAGACCTATACTCGACGCCTTCAAGAGTTTCGCCAAGGACGCTCCTAAGCCTCCTCCAAAAATAGAAGACATTGAAGATCTTAAAATTTGTCACAGTAAAGGCGACTGTAAGGGATGCGACAAGGACAAAAACTGGTGTGTGGTTAGCCAGAGCGATGTTGATCCTCCTCAGATTAAGAAAATCAATCTTAAAGATGGCCACGTGTGGTACAGAGTGAACGAGATCAATGACATATTCACTGTGCTGGATGCTGAGGGCTATGACTCTTACATGCTGGTTAACGGTAACACTAGTCGAGGTGTGTGTATTGTCGTAGCAAATTAAGGCACCGGACAAAACAGTGCACAGAATACTGATTTCTTTTAATATATTTTCAGGAGCTGTTCCAATTCTAGTGCGTCCGAAAATTCTAATAGACATTAGGCCAATAAAGGAACTTAAAGGGTATTACTTAGACCAGAATCTAGTCGTCGGTGCTGGCATAACTCTGACAGACCTAATGGAACTGTTTAAGAACGTCTCAAAGGCTCACGAGGAGTTTCATTATCTGTACAAGCTATATGAACATTTAGACTTAGTCGCCCACATTCCAGTGAGAAATGTAAGACAACACCACATAATACGTTCATCTTTTAAACTGAGAGAAGCAAATTATTGGAAATACAAGCTCATTGAAACTTTTTCATTTTCAGATTGGTACTGTGGCGGGGAACCTGATGACAAAATATCGTCTGCACGCTTTTTCATCAGATATTTTTTTGCTGTTGGAAACTATCGGAGCAACTTTGGTTTTAGGTGAGAATAAAAAAATAACATAATTGAAATACTGCTTACTTAATGCATTTTTAATTACTGATACTTGAACCTAAAATTTCAGTGGGGAAGGGACCATTAATGGAAGTTACGCCTGAACAATTGCTCTCGGTGGACATGACAGGAAGAGTGATAACTCATGTTAAGATACCTCCACGGTCTCAGCGATACCAGTTTGTGTCCTTCAAGGTATTCCGCGCCCTCTATTGCTATACTAACGTAACCTGCTGGATATCACCGAGTTTAAAAGTAATAAAACAAACAAATTCCAGATCATGCCCCGCGCTCAAAATGCACATGCTCAAGTGAATGCTGCATTCCTATATGAATTTGATGACCATCAAAAGGATGTAGTCCTATCAGCCAGGATTGTGATCGGTGGATTGTCGGGAAAGTTCGTCCATGCAACGGAAACCGAGAATTTCCTTCAAAAGAAAAAGATATTCACCAATGAAGTGCTGCAGCAAGCATTGAAGATACTAGAAGGTGAATTGATAGTTGAAGACATTGCAGGCGAGATGAAACCTGCATATAGAAAGAAATGTGCCCTCGGTCTGTTCTATAAAGTGAGTATTTTAACTAGCTTGCGTGGCTTGCTTTTTCGTTTTCACGTCCTTACTAAACAGCGACTTCCTTTTTAGAGTCTACTAGTACTAATTCCAAAACAACGTCTCAAACCTTGGTATCGTTCAGGAGCAAGAGACTTTAGAAAGACTAGGCCCCTGTCTAAAGGCTCCGAAGTCTACGACACAAATCCCATAATATGGCCAGTCAATGAACCGATGCCAAAGACCGATGCGTTAATACAGTGTGCTGGAGAAGCGATGTACTGTAATGACTTACCAACACAACCTAAAGAAGTATTTTGTGCTTTTGTGACGTCAGATATTTGTACAGGAGAGATAGAAAGTATTGACGCTACTCCTGCTCTGGTGAGTATTGGGATTTACAAATTTAATGAAAAAAAAAAAACATTTTAAATTATTACGTTTGTTTGTTTTGCAGAAAATACCCGGAGTATTAGCGTTCTTTTCAGCTAAAGACATTCCTGGTAAAAACTCATTCTTATCACAAAGAGTACCAGGTCAGTTATTACCTGAAGAAGTTTTTGTGGAAAAAACAATTAAATACTACGACCAACCGATAGGACTGATCGTAGCAGAAACGGAGATACTAGCTAATAGAGCTGCTTTATTGGTCAAAGTTAACTACAAAGTTGATAAAAAGAAACCAATCTTGACGATAAAGGATGCTAGAGAAAGAGAACCAAGTCGTGTCTCTTTGTATTTGATTTATCCTGCTAGAGACCGTGGGCTCAATGTGCAGCGAGTACTCAAAGGCACCGATGAAATTTATGCACAGTGCGCTTACTACATGGAGTCGCAAACTAGCGTCTCCAGACCCAGTGAAGATGGTATTGACGTGTATGCTAGTACCCAGTTTCTGGATTCTTATCATGTCGCTCTCTCAGAGGTACTCAATATTCCGCAAAACAGGTAAAATTAATCAGATACACAGAACTTATGCAATTATAAATTACCATAGTTATTACATATTAAATTCGTCTGTTACAGAATAAATATTACTGTACCCCGATGTGGTGGTGCGTATGGTATGAAAATAACTCGGCCGAACCATAGCGGTGCTGCCTGCGCACTGGTCACCCATCTGATGGACCGACCGTGCCGCTTCGTGATGAGCATGCAGTCTGACTTTAGAGTTACTGGCAAACGGTTACCTAATACTAGAGACTTTGAAGTAAGTTGTATTTTTCACAAAAAATTTTTACAAAAAATGACATTCACCGCAATTTCAATTGAGAACAGTGGTTCTCAATTGAAATTGCGGTGAATGTCATTTTTTGTTGTTGCTCCACTACGATTCTGGCCCAGTGCAGGAAAAAGAACGGGGTGGATTTTAGACAGCAAGAAACACTCCCTCTCGCCTCACGAGCCGTTTATGTTAATGAAGAACAGGTTTTTGATTTCGTATCATCACCATCAGGGTATAAGCAAAGCTTCTTCTCACACAGAGAATGTATGAGCATTAATAAAGCCGCTTGCTCAACCTGGATAAGCACATTCAAACTTAGAATTAGGAATTATAAAGTCCGGGTTTTCTCGTATTTTTTTCCTTGAAACCGGCATACGTATCAGTGCTTGCCAGGTTTCCAACCCGCACCCTCATGCGTTATTTAAACAGTTTAAAATGCAAGAAAATTGAAGTATAGTGAAACACATTGGAAAGGGTATAAAAACAAATCAAGACATTACAAGAAAACGTCTTATCGTGATTTAAGGAAAAACTAGTTTTTGTATCCTACTGGAAAAAATTCAATGTCAAAGTAAAAATGATTTATTCCAACTAAACCATAAATAGGTACCTTTGAAACGTCAAAATAGAGAAGTAGTCTGTCAGTCTGTTCGTCAGTGAAGCTAGGTGCTCTTACCAAATTGTAGATTCGAATGGAGAAGAACGAGCAAGAAACTCCATAGCACTCCTAGTTGACAAAATTTAATGTTAGTCATCCACTAAATTTAATGTGACTGTCATTATCCTAATGTTAACTGTTAAGTACCTAACTAACTCTCGTTTCAACTTTGGCAGGTTGGCATTAATTCTTCTGGAGAGATTCAATACTTAGAGTACCATTTGTACAGCGACAATGGGTACATTATTAGTGACCCCATTAACCCACTACAGCTTGCTCCTATTAAAAACTGCTACGACAACAGACGATGGCAGTATAAGATATTCAACGTTGTAACAGACACAGCTTCCAACACATATCTTAGATCGCCAGGTATTATATCAACTATATTAATTTAACAACAGGTTCTCTAGAGTATTAACAAAACATATCCTATTTAATAAAATTTTATCCAATAATTCAGGTTCTTTAGAAGCGATATCTATGACCGAGCAAATAATGGAAAGGATATCATATGAAATAGAACGGGATCCCGTACAGGTTAGATTGAACAACATCGAACCAGCGTACGTCGAAGTACAGGAGATGGTACAGACTCTACTTAAGGATGGCGAGTATGAAAAACGTAAAGAAGAAGTCCAGAACTTTAACAAAGTCAACAGGTGGAAGAAACGAGGTCTAAGAGTGGCCTTTATGAATTGGCCAGTTCCTATAATTATGGACTACCACGTTTTGCTCTCTGTCTATCACGCAGATGCAACTGTGGTTATACACCATGGAGGCATAGAAATTGGACAAGGTATTAATACAAAAGTTATCCAAGCCGTTGCCTATACCCTGAAAATTCCAATTGAGAAAATCAGGTGTAAACCGCCCACGGCTTCAACCACTCCCAATGTCTACGCTACTGGAAGTAGCAGAACCACTCAGGCTATTTGCTTTGGTGCTATAAAATGTTGCCAGATACTCCTGGATCGATTGTCAGCTGTACGAGATACTTTGAACGACCCTACTTGGGAGATTTTGGTTGAAGCAGCGTACACCAGGGGAATAAATCTCCAAACCAGTTACCGAGTCACTGCTAATGATCAGGCGCCGTACAGATCGGGTGGAGTGGCGCTGACTGAAGTAGAACTTGACATCCTGACCGGCGAACACGAAATATTAAGGGTTGATATCATTGAAGATGTCGGTACTAGCATAAACCCAGAACTAGATATTGGACAGGTAATATATTTTTTTTTAATTATTATGATTTCAGTTGGCAATTTTTGGCTAGGTCAAGTAAGACTGTTTGTTTGTTTAGATCGAAGGAGCCTTCATGATGGGTGTTGGCTACTGGACTCACGAGGAGCTCATTTATGACGAGAAGACTGGAGAGCTGCTCACAGACCGCAGTTGGTACTACAAGGTGCCCCTCACCAAGGATATACCCATCGACTTCCGAATACAACTCAGGAGGAACTCTTACAACCCTGTTGGGACTCTGGGTGCTAGGGGTGAGACACATAATGCTTCTACTATACAAATATATATTATTAGGCTTATTAGAATTGTTAATGTATTGAATGACACATTTCAGCGGTAGCGGAGCCCCCCACGTGTTTGTCCATTAGCGTCGCTTTTGCTTTGAGAGAGGCGATAGCGTCATCAAGGGAAAACACAGGATATCCGAGAAACAAATGGTTTAGAGTAGGTAAGTAAGGCATTAAACAAGTATTATAGTGTCGAAAATTATTATTATTTAAAGCGGCGGATTTAAGTATATTATTACTCTTTTAAACTCTCTATTGGTATTATTGTATTCATTCATTTAGCGTATTAGATTACGGACAGTTTGCTAGGGCAACAAAAAAAATGTTGACTATTTAAGACCATTAATTATTTGAATAAAATCAACATCATCATCATTATCATCATCAATTTCATGCCCTGATTTGTGACAATATACCTGATTTAAATTTAAGGAACAAATATGCTCGTCAGCGTCAGCAAATAATAATAACCAATAGTTTTTATAAAATTAATATATGAATTTGACCAATTGAAAACTGCCGGATTGTGCCAAATTTATCTAGGATACTTCATTACACATTATCGATATAATTATGTTGATCCTAAAAGTTGAATAGCTAGACTGTGTCCCATTTTTGTCTCTTTACATAAATTAGGGTTATCGACGTCGTACACAACAACCATTTTTCATGTTGCCAGAATTTAAATATCACACTAGACCGGAAATAATCCTTATTAAAATTGGCATTGATATAGAAATTAAATGAAATACACATTATGCAATGCATTTTTGCATAATGTGCAAATGTGTGTCGTGGTGGCCCGGAGGTTGAGGAGCCCGCTTCTCATTCATGAGGGCGTGGGTTCGAAACCTGGCAAGTACCAATGTGACTTTTTCCGAGTTATATGTACTTTCTATGATTATTTACACACCAGCGACATACGGTGAAGGTAAACATCGCGAGGAAACCTGGACTTATAATTAGTTATTATAAGTTTCAAATCGCCAACCCGCATTGAGCAAGCGTGGTGATTAATGCTCTAACCTTCTCCGTGTGAGAAGAGGCCTTTGCTCAGCAGTGGGCACTTATAGGCTGATGCTGAATGAATGCTGAAAAACCCAACAACCTCGTTATACTATAATGGTGGCTGAGGAACCACTTTTATTTAGCAAAATATGTTTTATTTATTTCCTTCCCATGCTGAATTTCGTATTGGCATTGCTAAAAACAGCCTAATGTTTGTTTGTTTGTTTCTGTGTTTGTGTGTTAAGATAGTCATCTTCTTTTAATTCCAGATGGTCCCTTTACACTGGCTGCTAACGTTCTGTCTGCAGACGCAAAGCTTGAAGAGTTCTTATTTTATTAGTCGACTAGCGATCCACCCCGGTTTCGCGCGAATGCAACGCTGATACTTACTTTATATCTCCGCTTATTAATAGGTGTTTTTACACATACATACAATCTGTCTATTAAATAAACCTCATCAAACGCTGTTGCATAAGTTTCAAAAAATACAAGCGTAAGTGTAGGATCCATGACCACAAATGGGTCGGCACGACCGGTGTGATATCACGCCCTCACAAGAAACCGGCGTGAAACAACCACAGCGTTGTGTTTTGCCTTTGTGTGAGTTTGATTGCCGGAGGCCCAATTCTTCCTCCCCCTCCTATCTTCAATCCTAAAATTACGTATCCTTAAATCCCCAATAACCCTCAAGAGGTCGACAATGCACTTGTGCTTGAAGGAACTCCTTTGGTAATACGAGTGTCCAAGGACGGCGCTGATTGCTTACCATCAGGTAATCTGCATGCTCGTTTGCCGACTCATGACATTAAAAAAAGACCTTATAGTCAATAAAATTAGGGTGACAATAAAATAACTGTATATTAAAAAACAATGTAAAAAAGGTGTACGCTACAGTTATTATCAAATATTTGTATTATTTTGTATATTATGGTTATTTACTTATAAAACATTGTTCTGAGTTATCGGTAACCGGATGTAAAGAAAATAAAGTGTATACTTACAATAAATATATTTTTACTCAATGATATTATATATTATTATTAACAGATATGTTATGAGCGCACAAAATTGAAGACTCGAAAAGGATACAATTGTATGCAAGTCATATTAATTGGTATTTAGAATAATGTTTGTTTGCGTTGCGTATGTAATTGAAAACAATAGCTTTTTAGTTTTTTTCTTGTTGAATTCATCATACTATCCTTTTTCTACAATTTTAACTTGTAGTGACATTCTACAATTAATAAAAAGGTATGTGAGTGTGCTGACGCTTGGCGCGGAACACATTTTTCGTGCGTTTTGTGAGCGTATAACATATCTGAGTTAACACATATATAATATCATTGTTTTTACTACATTATTTATCTACCCTTTAACAATAGCACATAATGATTGCTCATTTTGATTTTGATTGATTTAGAGTACGTCTTTCCCCTAATGATAAACATGTTTGCGGATTTTATTTACACGCCTACATATTACATTTAAACCAATGACGGAGATACCTAGCAGGTACAAGTTATTTCTTACGTAGACAATTGGATCGTTAACGTCACTCAGTTCTTTTTCCATGTAAACTGGTTTTGAACGTACGTATTCTCTATTGTGACGGAAAAGTGGTTCAACCTCTTTGACATCATGACGTCAATGGATGGTTGTCAAACGTTGCCTAGAGATTGTAAATTTCGTCGTGAATTGTCAACACGAGTTGGTGTAATCGGTAAGGCGTGTGGATTACACCACAGAGACCCCGAGTTCGAGTCCCGCCGTAAACATGTAGTTTTTTAGTTGATAGAAGTTTTGTGGAACTTTCTGGAATTATTTGTGTGAAAGAAATGAAAAATTAAAGAGCGAGAAGGAGAATAAATAAAAATGAGTAACGAAATTATTGGAAGGTTCTGGAGTCATGACGATCAAAAAGAATAACGAAATTGAATGTTCCAGAACCTGAACCGGGGGTATATAAGCGGAACTGCGGCTCACCGCTGGCAGTTGAGTTCTAAGTCTAAAGCGATTCGGAAGAAAAGGAAGAAGTGAAAAAGAAGAAAAGTGAGTGAAATAGTGAAGTGCAGTGAAATAGTGAAGTGCAGTCAGTTAAGTGAGTTAAGTCAGCGTGAACGGCAAAGTTGTGTCAGTCGGCCGGACTCTGCTGGAGAGGAACGCCGATAACTTAACTCCGTGGACGCTGTAACTTAAGTGCAATAGAAAGTCTGAAATCTGGTATTAGTGTTTCATTTCATCCAATCCCGTAACCCAAGCCCGCATAGTCAGGAACGTGACGTCAGGCACGTAACATTTGGTGTCAGAAGTGGGATTGGAGAAAAATGCCGCTAATGCCGCAGGACGTAAGAGGAGTGAGTACCCGTGCAATGGCAGAAGCGCAGCGTGTGAGGGAAGAGAGTGCTGCAGCTCAAACCAGCGATGCAGAAGCCAAGCCTGTGCAGGTGGATCTACTGCTACAGCTGCAGCAAATGATGGTAGAGCAAGCGCGCCGCCAAGAAGAACAGCTACGGGAGCTGAAAGAAGATCAAGCTCGTCGCCAAGAGGAGCAAGCTCGTCGCCAAGAGGAGCAAGCTCGTCGCCAAGAGGAGCAAGCTCGTCGCCAAGAGGAGCAAGCTCGTCGCCAAGAGGAGCAAGCTCGTCGCCAAGAGGAGCATGCACGCTGTCAGGCGGAGCAGCTACGGGAGCTGAAAGAGGATCAAGCTCGCCGCCAAGAGGAGCAAGCGCGTCGCTTGGAAGACATGCATAAGGATTTCACGAAGGGACTGCAAAAGGCTGTCGAACGGGTACAAGAAGTGGAGGAAGGGTTAGGCAAGTTGGAACATCGCGTCAAGGCGATAGAGGAGAGAGTGGAAGAAGAGATCTCCAAAATCAAGCAGGAAGTGACAAGCCCAAGCCCTTTGAAGAGCCGAAGCCGTCTTGCAGCCGTTTTTGAAGCCCCAAATGCGGCTTCAAGTGCAACGAAAGGGCTTAAGATTCCCCATTACGACGGAACAACATCCTGGACCGCGTTCAAGCTACAGTTTGAGACACTTATGGAGGCTTATGGTTGGACTCAGAAGGAAGCACAGTCAGCCCTTACCCTGGCCCTCCGTGATCAAGCGCTCTCAGTGCTGGAAGCTATCGGCGCAAGTGGGGATCTCAGCTTTAGTGCCCTCCTCGACGCACTTGAGGCACGTTTTGGAGACAGCCACCTCGAGCACGTGTACAGAGCGCAATTAAAAGAGCGTACTCAGCGTGCTAATGAGGGCCTACAGCAATGGTCCGTGGAAATCGAGAAACTTGTGCGTCGAGCTTTCCGGTCGACTCCGTCAATGATTGAAGGCACGCTTCTCCAAGCGTTCATTGACGGTATTCGGGACCCCGAAGTACGAGCCGCTGTCCATCTGGGCCATCACAAGAACATGAAAGAAGCTCTGGCCCATGCATTGGAAGTGGAAGCCGTGCGTGGTAACTCCCGTACCTTACGTCTGCGGGAAATGACGACAACGGAGCAGGTACCTCCACGCCGTCGGAACTTCATGTGCTATGGATGTGGAGAGCGTGGGCACATACGGAGCGACTGCCCGAAAAAGATGAACCGCCAGGACGCGGCGGTCTCAACTTCTGACCAGCAGGGAAACTTAAATCCAGCCAGGGCTGCGGGGTGGGCGCTGGCTGGTAGTGGAACAACCCCAACAATCTACATCAAGCAAACCAACGATGGAAATACTCTGGTGATAGACGGTCAAGTAAATGGAAAAAACAGTCAGCTAACATTAGATACTGGAGCTTCAAGGACGGTGATAAATGTTCGGCTGCTCGAGCAAAACATCAGGAAACACGTTAAACCAATTGTTGGCCTACAAATGAAATCAGCTACCGGCCAGTGCATACCGATAAGTGGAAAACTGCATGTAACAATCAAAATTGGGGAACGTGTTTATCGACATGAGGTTATTGTGGCCAAAATTCTGGATGACTGCATCCTGGGACTTGACTTCCTGCAAGGGCACCAGTGTAACATCGACTTAAAATCTGGAGTTTTACTATGTGGAACTGAGGAAATTCCGATGAAGGGTGGAACCCTGGGAAAAGTTTGCTGTTTAAGAAGAACTGTTCTTGCACCAAAATCACAGACTCTCGTACCAATCGCATTACCTAGGAGGAGGGAAGGAAGTTTACCTCGAAGGTGCGCTGTGATTGATAAATCGGAACACGTAAACTCATGGCTACCGGCAAGAACTGTCGTGGGGTCATCTGATGTCAACCGCATTCCGGTATTCAACTTCAGTGATTCAAAAATTACGATTGAAGAAGGAGAGCCTGTGGGCGTATTGGAAGAAGTGGCCTGGATAAGAAAATGCTCGGAGAATCTTGTGAAGAAGGACAGTACGGGAATTGACTTTGTAACGAAAATCTTAGACGAAAACAAAAGTCTGACAAAAGTGGAGACTATGAAAGCTAGAAATTTACTTCTTCGATTCTCTGATGTGTTTTCAAGAAGCGATGGTGATATTGGCCGAACTGGTTTGGTGAAGCATAAAATAAACACAGGTGATACAATGCCAATTCGTCAAAGGCCCAGACGCATACCATTCGCTCGTGAGAAAGAGGTTGAAGAAATGATTGACGATATGAGGAAAAATGACGTGATAGAGCCCTCTTCTAGCCCTTGGTGTTCACCTGTCGTGCTTGTCAAGAAGAAAGATGGTTCAACGAGGTTTTGCGTAGACTATCGACGATTGAATGATGTAACCAAGAAGGATAGCTACCCGTTACCAAGAATCGATGACACACTTGACACATTGAGTGGCATGAAATGGTTTTCAACGCTCGATCTGAAAAGCGGCTATTGGCAGGTGGATTTGGATCCCAAGGACAAGGAAAAGACCGCATTCTCAACTGGGAAGGGACTCTGGCAATTTAAGGTGATGCCATTTGGATTATGCAATGCACCGGCAACTTTTGAGCGTTTGATGGAACAGGTGCTGGCGGGACTGCTGGGCGAAACCTGCCTAGTTTACCTCGATGACATCATCATTGTTGGACGGGATTTTGACGATCATCTAAGGAAATTGGAAAAGGTACTCGGCAAGCTGCGTGGAGCAAATTTAAAGTTGAGTCCAAAGAAATGCTCTTTCTTCAAGCGCGAAGTGAATTATCTAGGACATGTTATTTCTGAGAGAGGAATTGAGACTGATCCAGCCAAGACTGCCGCTGTTAAGGAATGGCCAACACCTAAAGACAAAACGCAAGTTCGGGCATTTCTTGGATTGTGCTCGTATTATCGGCGGTTTGTGAAAGGATTCTCGGACATTGCCAAGCCATTGCATCGATTGACAGAGGATAAACGTGCCTTTGTTTGGGACGAGGATTGTGAACAAGCCTTTCGAGAACTAAAAGAAGGGCTTTGTAACACACCAATTCTCGGATATCCCAGCGCGAAAGGAATATTCGTAGTTGATACGGATGCCAGCAATATTGGAATAGGAGGTGTCCTTTCACAACGCGATGGTGAGCAGGAGAAGGTTATTGCTTACTTCAGCAAGTCACTATCCAAGCCAGAGAGGAATTATTGCGTGACCAGGAGGGAATTGCTGGCCGTAGTCAAAACCCTGCACCATTTCAAGAAGTATTTACTGGGACGGAAATTTTTGATCAGAACTGATCACGCTGCTTTGAAATGGCTGCTTCAGTTTAAGGATCCCGAAGGCCAAGTAGCCAGATGGCTGGAACAACTTCAGGAATTTGACTTTGAAATCGAACATAACGGCGGAAGAATTCATGGCAACGCAGATGCATTATCGAGACGCCCATGCGTGGAAGATTGCAAACATTGTGCTAAGAAGGAAACTGCTTTTCTTAAGGTGATAAGGACTGATACTGTTGACGAGGCATGGGGAAATGATGCGATGAAATTAGAACAGGAAAGAGATGCAGATATTAAACCAATACTGGAGTGGCTACGAAGTGGTAACAAGCCAAGTTGGAGTGACGTCGCCCAATATAGCGCGGTAACGAAAGGTTTATGGGCACAGTGGAAAAGCCTTACGCTGCATAACGGACTTCTGTGCAGGAAATGGGAATCAACAAACGGCAAGGACGAGCATTTGCAATTGGTGGTGCCTCGTTCAAAAATAAGGGATGTATTAAAAGCGTTCCATGATGGATCTTCTGGAGGACATTTGGGAATTAGGAGGACTTTGGTGAAGATCAAGGAGAGGTTTTATTGGTTGCATTGCAAATATGACGTCGAAGATTGGTGCCGGAAATGCACTAGTTGTGCAGCTGTCAAGGGTCCACAAACAAGGAGCAGGGGGGCGATGAAAATCTACAATGTTGGTATGCCTTGGGAGAGAATAGCCTTAGACATCGCTGGACCATTTCCAATCACTGATTCGGGCAATCGCTACGTTTTAGTGGTTATGGATTATTTTACAAAATGGCCGGAGGTCTTTGCCATACCGAATCAAGAGGCAGTAACTGTAGCGACGAAGTTGGTAAACGAAGTATTCACCCGATTTGGAGTACCCTTGGAGATGCACAGTGATCAAGGACGGAACTTTGAATCCCAAGTTTTTCAGGAAACTTGTAAACTTTTGGGAATCCATAAGACTCGAACGACCCCTTATCATCCACAGTCAGATGGAATGGTCGAACGCTTCAACCAAACATTGGAGCGACACTTAGCAAAGGTGGTTGACAGCCATCAGAGAGATTGGGACACTTACATACCTCTCTTCTTGCTTGCCTATCGGACTGCTGTACATGAAAGTACCGCAAAGACGCCTGCATTTGCAAATTTTGGAAGGGAATTGAGATTACCGGCAGATCTTGTATCGGGCTGTCCACCTGGCGACTCTCGCGCCGAGTTTAGCGATTACATAAGCGAGTTAAGGGCAAAAATGTTGGACATTTATGAGCAGATCAGGGAGGCCGGTTTTCAAGCTAGTGATCGCGCAAAGACGCGCTATGATCGACGAGCCAATTCTGTTGGGTTTGAAGAGGGGTCATTGGTCTGGCTTCATAATCCAGTCAGAAGGAAGGGAAAATCTCCGAAGCTGCAACCGAGTTGGGAAGGTCCTTATGAGATAGTCACGAAGATCAATGACATTACTTACAGAATTCGGAAGACTTCAAGGAGCCCTTTGAAAGTTGTCCATATAGACAGGTTGGCGAAGTATTACGGCAGCAACGATGCTCGGGACGAGCAAATCTAAGAGGGGGGCAGTGTGACGGAAAAGTGGTTCAACCTCTTTGACATCATGACGTCAATGGATGGTTGTCAAACGTTGCCTAGAGATTGTAAATTTCGTCGTGAATTGTCAACACGAGTTGGTGTAATCGGTAAGGCGTGTGGATTACACCACAGAGACCCCGAGTTCGAGTCCCGCCGTAAACATGTAGTTTTTTAGTTGATAGAAGTTTTGTGGAACTTTCTGGAATTATTTGTGTGAAAGAAATGAAAAATTAAAGAGCGAGAAGGAGAATAAATAAAAATGAGTAACGAAATTATTGGAAGGTTCTGGAGTCATGACGATCAAAAAGAATAACGAAATTGAATGTTCCAGAACCTGAACCGGGGGTATATAAGCGGAACTGCGGCTCACCGCTGGCAGTTGAGTTCTAAGTCTAAAGCGATTCGGAAGAAAAGGAAGAAGTGAAAAAGAAGAAAAGTGAGTGAAATAGTGAAGTGCAGTGAAATAGTGAAGTGCAGTCAGTTAAGTGAGTTAAGTCAGCGTGAACGGCAAAGTTGTGTCAGTCGGCCGGACTCTGCTGGAGAGGAACGCCGATAACTTAACTCCGTGGACGCTGTAACTTAAGTGCAATAGAAAGTCTGAAATCTGGTATTAGTGTTTCATTTCATCCAATCCCGTAACCCAAGCCCGCATAGTCAGGAACGTGACGTCAGGCACGTAACACTATAATAAACACTTCACGTTTTTAGGGGGGAAAACCATAACAACAGGTGTTACTTCAAAACTATTGAAATTAAATTGACTGTTATTCATTTAGATAGAGAAAATTCGTGCGGTCATCCATAAATGAAAACATTAAACAAAAAGATGTACAGTGATATAACCTTACCCAGATTATATTACTGTACATCTTTGTGTATCTTTATTAGAAGAATATGTTTCACATGTCCTAGTAACAAAATTGTGAGCGGAAATAAATAAATGTATGCAATTAACTTAGATATACAATTGTTTCTATAGCCTATTTTTTAATCCAGGGTATCACCAATCTACGAACCAAATTTCAACCAAATCGGTCCAACTGTTTTTGCGATAGAATAACAAACACACATCCGTACATTCTCAAAAACTTTCACATTTATAATATTAGTAGGATAATACACAAATAAAATTTATTACAAGAAAAAAAGAGAAAAGGGATTGGGAATATTAATAAAACTAATAAAATAGAAATTCTTCAAGCTTGACATCAGCTGAGAGCACATTAGCGGCCAGTGTGAAGGGACCGTCTGAAATAAAAATAATATCACAATTATAACAGACCCATAGATGTAATCTCCTATAGCTGCACAATATCCTCAATTATTCAAAGAATAAATAAAAAAATACTGTAAATTAAAAGAAAATCATAAAAAATCAACAAGCTTATCATTTGGTCGTCCCTGACATTAAAATATTATTTTACCTGCGCAACAATTTGCATCATAATTATTTTCGCAGATATCATTTAAAGTTTTGACTCCATTGCAAAAGCTTTTTTTTTTTTTTTTTTGTGAGGGGAAAATCATCAAATGACTTCTCCCGCCCAGGGCCGGGCAGGAGGGAGTGTCAGACTCTTACTGACTAAAAACCCCCCTGTTCCTTCTCCTGCTCTGTGCCGAGGTCGCGGTACCTTATTGCGCTTACCCCGCAACCCCGGCTGAACATCAGCCCTTTAGGGCCCCGTCTGTGGTGGTCTATTGGCCTTTTGAGGCGCGCGCGGAACGCTACGCGCCGTACGCTCGGGCCTGGTTCTGGTCGGGCGGCGAGCTGCCCTTACTCGCCGACCGCAGGCCCGTACTTACGGTGGCCGGAGATCGTCCCTCGATCCCCGACGCCCGTAGTGTCGCCAGTTGCGGCTGCTGGGGCGTGAGGAGGAGGATTGCTCCCTCACGCGGGCCGCCTCTCTCTTTGCGAGCATGACTGCTTCACAAAAGGAGGAGACGGCGTCCCAGTTCCTCTCACTCCGCACCATGGCCTCGACTAAGGCCGGGCGCGAGAGGTCGCCGCCGCCGATCACTTCCCTGAGGATACGGCGGTGCTCAGCCCAGGCAGGGCATACCGCTACCGTATGCTCCACCGTATCCTCTAGGTGGTCCTCACAATGACGACACTCGGGCGTTTCCTCCCGCTGAATCCGAAACAGGAACCTACCGAAGCTGCCGTGCCCGGTAAGCACCTGCGTCAGACGGAAGGTGAGGACGCCGTGGCGTCTCTCAAGCCACTCCTCAAAGAGGGGTCTTACCGCTGCTATGGTAGCGTGCCCGGCCCTCGGTTGATTGCAAAAGCTTAAAGTTACAACAATACTCAAATCTAGCAAACTGAATCAAGCGGACAAAAAAAACTATCTCAGATCTAATAACGCAATAATAATTATAATCTATATATGTACTAACCTACTCTAAACCATTTGTTTCTCGGATATCCTGTGTTTTCCCTGGATGACGCTATCGCTTCTCTCAGAGCAAAAGCGACGCTAATGGACAAGCACGTGGGGGGCTCCGCTACCGCTGAAATGTGTCATTAAATACAATAAGTCTCTATTAATCTCCGATACAGATACGTATATTAAGTATTAAGCCCCTCACCCCTAGCACCCAGAGTTCCAATGGGGTTGTAAGAGTTCCTCCTGAGTTGTATTCGGAAGTCGATGGGTATATCCTTGGTGAGGGGCACCTTGTAGTACCAGCTGCGGTCTGTGAGCAGCTCTCCAGTCTTCTCGTCATAAATGAGCTCCTCGTGAGTCCAGTAGCCAACACCCATCATGAAGGCTCCTTCGATCTAAACAAATAAAAAGTTTTAATTCCCTAAGCCAAAACTTTCCAACTGAAATCGTAATAATTTCAGAAAAAGAAAATATTACCTGACCAATATCCAGTTCTGGATTAATGCTAGTACCGACATCTTCAATAATATCAACTCTTAGTATTTCATGCTCTCCGGTCAGTATGTCAAGTTCTACCTCGGCCAGTGCCACTCCTCCAGCTCGATATGGCACCTGATCATTAGCAGTGACTCGGTAGCTGGTTTGGAGATTTATTCCCCTGGTGTAAGCTGCTTCAACTAAGACTTCCCAAGTAGGGTCATTCAAAGTATCTCGTACAGCTGATAAACGATCTAGAATAATCTGGCAGCATTTTATGGCACCGAAACACACAGCCTGAGTGGTTCTACTACCTCCAGTCGCGAAATTATTCGGATTTGTAGAAACTGTTGCTGGCTTACATTTGATTTTTTCAATTGGAATTTTTAGAGTATAAGCAACAGCTTGAATGACTTTTGTGTTGATCCCTTGTCCCATTTCTATTCCTCCATGATGTATAACTACTGTAGCATCTCCATGGTACACGGAGAGCAATACGTGATAATCAATTAATGTAGGAGCGGGCCAATTCATAAAGGCCACCCTAAGTCCACGTTTCTTCCATCTGTTCACTTTGTTATAATTCTTCACTTCTTCTTTACGCTTTTCATATTCACCATCCTTAAGTAAGGTCTGTACCATCTCCTGTACTTCGACATAGGTAGGCTCGATGTTATTCAGTCTTACTTGTGCTGGGTCACGTTCTAATTCATACGATATTCTTTCCATTATTTGCTCTGTCATTGATATTGCTTCTAAGGTTCCTGAAAAAATACACATTATGTTATGTAATATAAAAAAAACGTTGTTATGTCGTGTTAATACGTGCATGCTCAAACGTGAATAGCTTAAAATATTTACCCGGTGATCTTGTGAACGTATTCGAAGGTGTGTCGGTAGTAACGTTAAATATCTTGAACTGCCATCGTCTGTTGTCATAACAGTTTCTGACTCCAGTGAACTGAGCTGTAGCAATTGGATCGCTGAAAACATACCCATTATCGCCGAATAATTGGTACTCCAGATATTGAATTTCACCTGAACTGCTGACGCCAACCTGTAACAAGATGAATTATATCGAGTTTTAGTTTTCGTCGAACCTAATTCTAATCTCTAACACACAAATGAACTTTTATTTATTTATATATACTTTATTGCACACATACACCAAGTAACAATACATTGGATACTATGAACAAATGTGATTACAATGGGCGGCAATTTTATTGTGTGCCTTTGAACAAGCAACTTACTTCAAAGTCTCGACTGCAAGGCAGTCGCTTGCCGACAACTCTTAAATTAGACTGAAGACTCATAACAAAGCGGCACGGTCGATCCATAAGATGGGTGACCAGAGCGCAAGCTGCACCGTTGTGATTTGCACGAGTTATCTTAACGCCATATGCACCACCACATCGAGGAACAGTTATGTTTATCCTAAAATAATACAATAAAACGTATGAATGCAAAATACAATTTCCCAAAGACAAAACTTACTGTTTGCGTTTACCTGTTTTGTGGAATATTAAGTACTTCTGAGAGAGCGACATGATAAGAATCCAGAAACTGGGTACTAGCATACACGTCAATACCATCTTCACTGGGTCTCGTGACTGTGGTTTGAGTTTCCATTGTGTACATGTACTGCGCGTATATATCGTCAGTGCCTTTAAGAATTCTTTGCACATTAACACCACGGCTTCTGGCTGGAAAAACTGCAAATAAACTTATTCGACTCGGTTCTCTCTCTTTAACATCTTTTATCGTCAATATTGGTTTCTTTTTATCAAGTTTATAGTTAACTTTGACCAATAAAGCCGCTCTATAAGCTAGTCTTTCCGTTTCAGCAACGATCACTCCTATAGGTTGATCGTAGTATTTAATAGTTTTTTCAGCGAAAACTTCTTCAGGGAATAATTGGGCAGGTACTCTCTGTGACAGGAATGAATTTTTACCAGGAATGTCTTTAGCTGAAAAGAACGCTAACACTCCGGGTATTTTCTGTAAATAAAGCAAATGTAATAATTTTAGTGATGTTATTTTTTCCATTAAATTTGCAAATTCTAATACCAACTCACCAGAGCAGGAGTAGCGTCGATACTTTCTATCTCTCCTGTACAAATATCCGACGTTACAAAAGCACAAAATACTTCGTTGGGTTGTGTTGGCAAGTCATTGCAGTACTTCGCCTCTCCTGCACATTGTACTAATGCGTCAATCTTTGGCATCGGTTCATTGACTGGCCATATTATGGGATTTGTGTCGTAGACTTCGGAGCCTTTAGACAGAGGTCTAGTCTTTCTAAAGTCTCTTGCTCCTGAACGATACCAAGGTTTAAGACGTTGTTTTGGAATAAGTACTAGTAGACTCTAAAAAGGAAGTCGTTGTTTAGTACCAGTAGACTCTAAAAAGGAATTGTTTCTGGAATTCTCGTCCTTACTAAAGTAAGAACAATTAACCAAGTCGCGCAAGCTAGTTAGAATACTCACTTTATAAAACAGACCGAGGGCACATTTCTTCCTATACGCAGGTTTCATTTCGCCTGCAATTTCTTCAACTATCAATTCGCCTTCTAGTATCTTCAGTGCTTGCTGCAGCACTTCATTAGTGAATATCTTCTTCATGTGTAGAAATTTCTCGGTTTCAGTGGCATGGACAAACTTTCCCGACAGTCCACCGATCACAATTCTGGCTGATAGGACTACATCCTTCTGATGGTCATCGAATTCATATAGGAAGGCAGCATTCACTTGAGCATGCGCATTTTGAGCACGAGGCATGATCTGTAATTTTATTGTTTAATTAGTTTAAAATTCGATGATAACCAGCACCTTACGTTAGTACAGACACACAGAACGCAGACTACCTTGAAGGACACAAACTGGTATCGCTGAGACCGTGGAGGTATCTTAACATGAGTTATCACTCTCCCTGTCATGTCTACCGAGAGCAATTGTTCTGGGGTCACTTCCATTAATGGTCCTTTACCCACTGAAATTTTGGGTTTAAATATCATTAATAAAAAAAATATAAGTAGTAGTGTTTCAATGATGTGATTTCTATTCTCACCTAAAACCAAAGTTGCTCCGATAGTTTCCAACAGCAAAAATATATCTGATGAAAAAGCATGTAGACGATATTTTGTCATCAGATTCCCAGCCACAGTACCAATCTGTAAATGAAAAAGTTTGAAAGAGCTTCTCATGCTTTAAAAGACATAATCATTATGTTGCATGCATGTTGTCTTACATTTCTCACTGGAATGTGGGCGACTAAGTCTAAATGTTCATATAGCTTGTACAGATAATGAAACTCCTCGTGAGCCTTTGAGACGTTCTTAAACAGTTCCATTAGGTCTGTCAGAGTTATGCCAGCACCGACCACCAGGTTCTGGTCTAAGTGATATCCCTTAAGTTCTTTTATTGGCATAATATCTATTAAAACTCTTGGATGGACCAGTACTGGAACGGCGCCTGCAGAAATGTAAAATAAATCAGTGTTAATATTTTTTTATAAAGGATTCGATGTAATTATCTGCTTCATCGAGACACTTACCTCGACCAGTGTTACCGTTAACCAGCATGTAAGAGTCATAGCCCTCAGCATCCAGCACAGTGAATATATCATTGATCTCGTTCACTCTGTACCACACGTGGCCATCTTTTAGATTGATTTTCTTAATCTGAGGAGGATCAACATCGCTCTGGCTGACCACACACCAGTTTTTGTCCTTGTCACATCCCTTACAGTCGCCTTTATCGTGACAGATTTTAAGATCTTCGATGTCTTCTATTTTTGGAGGAGGCTTAGGAGCGTCCTTGGCGAAACTCTTAAAGGCGTCGAGTATAGGTCTGCTGCCGGTACATCTGCAGGTGTTGCTACCGAAGGAGTTCTCAATCTCGTACTGAGTTAAGTCGTAGCCGTTTGCTTCCAGTAGGCTGAAGATAGAAATATTATAATTAAAATAATAAATGTAACTCGAATGTATTGTGTTTGTTAACTTCACCGGGAGACGCTTACCTGTACATGCTCATCACAAACCCTGGGCTGCAGTACCCGCACTGAGTGCCGTTGTATTCAGCCAGGGTCTTCTGTACGGGGTGGTACCCTCGCGCTCGGTTGCCGATCCCCTCTATTGTAGTAATCTCCCAGTCTTGACATGAGGTCACTGAGACTAGGCACTAAGAACAAAGTTTTTTCTTTATAAAACCTATTGATAAGTACTGTCCGGGGTTTGCCAGTCAAACACAATAAGGTACTAGTGTGCAAAATGAAATGCAATGCTGTTAAATACATATCGAACCGGGTTTATTAAATACTGCAAGCATTAAGTATGAATACTTGATCGCTTATTTCGCGTGTGGAAACTAATCCGACGATTTCTCCTGTCGTCAACTTGACAAAGTACTTTGGCCTCACAATCACAAAAAACACTATGTATAAGCGATTCAAAGGCCACTTTGAGAGAGAGAGAATTCTGAAAGTCTCACTCTTTGACTTAAACAGGGCCGTTTCTTCTCCTCTCCTTTTCCGGGGTATTGGGTTGGCCCAAGCAACTCTGATGACGTGTTAATCGCTGCTATTAATATAGTGTTAATGTCTGAAATAAGTTAGTATGTACTTGTAGGTAATGCTGTAATTTTGCATTCATCTGCTTTATTATTATTATTGAATACAAGGGCAGCTAATAAAAACTTGGTTTTATTCATTTCGTGGTTGTTTATTAGAACAGTTCACAGTACAATACAGAGTTATTTTAAACGAAGGAGTTTCTCTTTTGCTAATTGATTAAAGTAGGCTATGAATAAGCAAAAAATATGTAATTAGACTGCTTTGTTGATCGTATAATTGGTAGTACGAATACCTAGCAAGAAGTATGATTCAGGGGCAATCAAAGAGTATGTTTTGACATTTTTCGTTGCAAAATTGTTTGTATTGTAGCAAGGATCTAGAATCGTGTCTGATATACATATAACGTAATGTTAACCTTCCGATTACAGGGGACGTAGCATACAGGGTGATGTAACTCTCAGTGGTATATCTCCTTTTACGTTATTTTTATATTAAAGTGCGATAATTAAATCCATTCTTAACTGTATATAATAATCCAAACTATATATGTATAACTCCAATTATATATATATGTAAATCTAAACTATAATATTATTATAAAAGCGAAAGTAACTCTGTCTGTCTGCCTATCTGTTTTTACTTCACGACTAAACTACTGAACCTATTTGTGTGAAATTTGGTACAGACATAGTTTGGAACTCGAGAAAGGACATAGGATAGTTTTTATACCAAAAATCTGCACTATTTCACGCGAACAAATTCGCGGGCAAAAGCTAGTAAATAAATAATTAAGAAAATGTATCGATATTTTTCTGTTTATTGAGACAAGCCTGCCACATTCTCCCAGAAACCCTGCAACGTATATAGTGGTACGTTTATATTGCCAACGACTACGCTTCTAGAGCATATGATAGGCAGACTGCTCGTACTGCAGTTCTGCTGTCGAGCATTGGCACCATGGTGAGTTAAAAAATTAGCCCAAGAAAATGGGGTACACAACGTCACATCTCCAACCATGTTTTCTCCAGCCACTCATGTACGGATGGAAAAAATGATAAAGTTGGCGACCCTTGATAAAAAATTCACGTTTATACTGCCGTTCAGCTAAAGGTTCACCCCGGACTAGACGGTTTAACAATCTCGCTATGTTGTTTTGATCACGTTTTTCTATAGTAGTGATCTTCCAATCATGACATGATGTTATGGAGACTAGACACTATGAAAGTTTGTTATGACAATATGTGCATGTGCACAATAATGTAATCATGGAGGGTTGTTTAAAAATTATGTCATGTCGTGACGATGCGACACCTTCCAAACGCATATTCTTGATGAGACGTAGGTTCAGAACTTGTTGTTGTAGATGTTAAGAAAAGTGCCTAAGTTTTGACCGTGACCAATACTCACCGAGTTGACAGAGAAGGTCCGACGGTGGGGGTCGTTGACGGTGACTGCAACAATGCATGCGCCGCAACCACCCTCCTTGCACATATACTTGGTGCCGCGCAGGTTCAGATGGTTGCGGATGTAATCATTCAGGGTAGTGTCTGAGTCCACCTCGGGACCCACTGCAGTCAAAGAACATTTGAAATTAACATTACATACATAAAATTGTGATATTAGATTTTTTTATAAATAGTGGGTTTTTTTGTGAGGGGAAAATCATCAAATGACTTTTCCCGCCCAGAGCCGGGCGGAAGGGAGTCAGTCTCTTACTGACTAAAAACCCCCCTGTTATTTCTCCTGCTCTGGGCCGCAGTCGCGGTGCCTCATTGCACTTACCCTGCACCCCGGCTGAACATCAGCCCTATAGGGCCCCGTCTGTGGTGGTCTATTGGCTCATTGAGGCGCGCGCGGAACGCTACGCGCCGTACGTTCGGATAATTAGTAGTTACGGTGGGTTTTCTACCAAGTAGAGAGAGTAAAGACGGCCGAACTACGTTATATACTTTGGTCAAGAGTATTCTTTAGTTTGTTTTAATGGTTCTTCATAATGATGAATTAAAAAAAAATACGCCATGTCTCGGCGTACATGGGCTGGGTGGAATGGAATGATTTCAGTTTATTAGTACCTTACAGAAACCCAGCGTGAAACCGCGCTTTCGATGTGTTTTGCCCCCTTCATTCCCAATATCCAAATCCCGGTATCATCAAATTTCTAATCCCAAGGCCGACAACGCACTTGTTTCCGTGAACCCCGATTGTTTACTATCAGGTAATCTGTCTGTTCTCATTGCAGACTTCACATCACATCAAATCATCAGCTTATAAGTGCCCAGTGCTGAGTAAAGGCCTCTTCTTACAAGAAGAAGGTTTGAGCATAAATCGCCACGCTCAGTCAGACCACCATATGCTCAAGGCAGATTTCTGGTTTCAAAGTTCTAATTAGAAATTACAAGTCCAGGATACCTCTCGCATCCAACCTTAGTCGAAGCCATGATGCGGAGCGAAAGAAACTTGGAAACCGTCTCCTCCTTCTGCGAAGCAGTGATGATCGCAAAGAAGGAGGCGGAGTGTGTGAGGCAACTATCCTCCTCATGCACCAGTCGCCGCAGTAAGCGACACTTCGGGCGTCGGTATCAAGCGATGTTCTCCAGCCCCCATAAGCGCGAGTCTGTAGACGGCGAGTTCAAGTAGCTAACCGCCCGATCAGGTCTAACCACGAGCGTACAATAGACCACCACAGACGGTACCTTACAGGGCCGATGTTCTGCCAGGTCAAGCGCAATTAGGTACCGCGGCTTCGGTCTAATGCTGGAGGAGGAAAGGGAGGGGTTTTTTCGTCTGGGCGAACCCTACAAAAAAAGGTTACCTCACGATCTCTTTCTTCACCGTTTGTCAATGGTATCTAAATACAGTTAGAAAGTACATACATCATATGACATAGAAAAGTCACATTGGTACTTGCCAGCGTTCGAACCCCTACTGTAATGCATGAGAAGAGGGTGCGTTTACATCTGGACAACCACGACAAAAATGCAATTGCAATGCAGACCTAACCCATAAAAAAGATAAAGACGTAAAATAGCATAAGGAACAGCGTAATCTATCATTTATCAGAAGTAGCAAGAAAGATAGATTAAACTACAATATTAACACAATTTAATATACCTACATATTTAAATTAGAAGCCAAAAGTATAAACACTTAATATTACATAAGTTAATAATTAAAAATCGTAACCCGAAACAGAAATTACACCAAATTGTATGATGGTTTAAAAATTTATTGGTTTTATTTCCAAAATCAGATTAATTAAGTGCAAACAAATTTGAACCATGATCCTTTAATTACTTATATTTGCATAATAATGTCACTGAAAAGGTACCTACCAGAGCACTTATCTTTATTTACATAAAATGTTATCCTGTCCATGGCGAGAGGGAATAGCAACAAATCTGACGATGAACAAAAAACAATTGACTACAATCATATAACCGATTTCACTGTATTGATTCTGCAATATGCATTCGCTAGACAATGGTGCAATTATATCATGCAAGCAACTTAACATCAAGCGGTTTACGAGTACCATATAAAGGAAGCAATTTAAATAATTAATATTACTACTCCATTCGTATTAGTATCATCGGGGATCACAGTGTTGAATTAACTTTACACGTAAAGGGAGCAACTTTTTCAATTTTATTTTTCTTCTACTTTCCCTGGTTTGGCTGTTACGAGCTTCCATAACCTGTCCGTCCCATAATTTGAAGGCACGTATTTATATTGCTTTTTAGAAAAAAAAACATCACGCTACAAATAACATTTAGAAACCACTTTTTTTTTTCAGTAAAACTGTGTAAAATGTCGTGGACGCCCGGCGGTTATGGCGCCCGCTTGTCATGAATGGGGTTCTGGAAATTGACTAGTACCAATGTGTATTTTGAGAGTACCATGAGTTCTGCAGTCAAAGCAATGTGCATTTCACAGAGACATTTAAAACTTGATAGCTCTACAACTACAAAAGATGTAACGTAGCTCCGTAAAAAATACACAAGTAATAGAATAGATTGACTTTTCTTAATTTTTTACGAATGCCCAGCACTAGGATTTGCTGGATAGTGGATACGATTACAAACATACAAATTCACACACACACCCAGCCCCGGAACAACAATTTGTGGATCACACAAATACATAGTCGTTCCTTGCGGGAATCGAACACGTAACACGTTGCGCGGCAGCCAGTCCAGTGTGTGTAAACCCTTTAAAAATTGCAGCTGTATGTAGTGAATTAACATTAATGGTTACATTGTAATTATTTTACAAATGCACTCATTAACTGGTCGATCATTTAATCCGTCGTAATTATACGAATAATTGTAAGCGGCGCGTGCTGTATAATAGGTAAATATGAGCGGATATTGTGGTTTTTTTTTATATTACCTCACACTATGTTTTCCTCCTATACTGTAGGTTCTTCGTACATTCGTAAACACAATTACATGCACTTGTATATATATAACTTGTTATTCATACGTAAATGTATCGTTGTATAGTTATTATATGTATATAGTGAAGTACTTAATACTGCGCAACAGATGACATCTTAAAATAGCCCAACGGGTCAATACTACATAATACATAGATACACAAGATATGTAAATAAAATACTGGTTTTGTCCGGCAAATAGTAAAAAGTAATAAAGTGGGAATGTTTTTAATGACCATGAACTACGCTAATAAAGCCTTTTTTGTAGAGTGTAGTGTGTGCGATGTTTAGTCTGGCTAGCCCTGGGTAGGGCGAGAGATAGAGTATCAGACTCCTCCTGACTAAAAACCACTCTGTTCAATATCCTATCGAAAGAGAGCTGTGTACGTAATTGCCCATTGCCTGCAACCTCAACCAGCTTTACTCGCCCACTTCACCCTAAATTGACTGCACAGTTGACGCGGTGCCTTGGCATCCGAAACCTATCATCGGTCGATATAGATAAGTCGGCAAACAAGCAGATCGATGATGGAAAGCAATCAGTGCCACCCATAAACACTCGGAATACCAAAAATACCAAAATTTAATCAGAAGATATTATTTGAGGAGAAGAAAACATGAAATAGTTTCCATTTCCCTCGGTATTTTTTTTTATAGTGGGTTTCTGCAACTTGGCAATCTGCGTCAACACAATAAGCCATTTAGATGAGGTATCTTGGTCCTTGTCTTGTCAGCAGAAGGGATTTCTATGAATCCCTTTCGTCTGGTATCACCAAATCTTAAGGTAAGTGTTGGGACACTATAATAACGTTTCAATCTGGACTGTGTGATACTTCCTGTGCCCACAAGTTTTGATGGCAGTTCATTGACGTGAGTTGATATTCTCGTCTGATAACTTGCACTGTATCTAGCGATCTCTTGTTTGACGGTGGCGATCTTTAAATCCTCATGTATGTATTTGTTGCTCACATAATAGGGTATATCTAGCATGGCTCTCAGTGTCTTGTTGTGAAATCTTTCAAGAATCTCTATGTTGCTATTGCTAGCAGTACCCCATAGCTGGATTCCGTAACTCCAGATTGGTTTGAGGATGGTCTTGTAAATAGCTATTTTGCTTTCATGTGAGAGGTATTTGCGACCTTTTAGCCGGTGCATTAATCTGACTTTCGTATCCAGCTGTTTACGCTTGGTTCAGATATGTTTTCTCCTGGTGAGTATTTTATCAAGATACATACCCAGATATCTGGCATCTTCAGACTTCTTCCTATAGAACTTAATAATGCTTTTAGGGATTTAAGGAAAAGAGATTTGAGGATGAAGAATGGGAATGTGGGGAAAAGATTGGGCCTCCGGTAACCTCACTCACACGGTGAAACACAACGTAGGCATTGCTTCACGCCGGTTTTCTGTGAAGCCTGTGGCCTCCTAGTTTTACTCCGGTCTAGCCAGCCCATCCGTGCCAAAGCATGGCTCTCCCACACTTTTACCTATAACTAGTTGAAGTAGTAAGAAGTAAAAAAGCCAATTTAGTGGAATTACAAAACTAGGAAAATAAAACAGTTTTTGATCATAAGAAATCTTGGATCTAAGTACTAAGTTAGACTTTCAATTCTGTCGAACAATTTTTCGCCAGGCCAATGGTAAGGACAAATTCCAAAAGTTGTCAGCAGCCTTCAGTAGTGGTACCACAAGAAGAAGATAAAATTTTATATACTCGTAAACGTTTTTATATTTAATACAAATATTTACAGTAAGTTATGTGACATGTCCATGATGAAATGAATAATAAATGGCAACAAAATGTGGGTTTTGCCAACATTTTATCATTCAACGTTGATAATAAGTAAGTGCCTATTGTGTAAAATCGGTTTAACATGCGTCATTAGTCGAGTAATTGCAATTTGATGCAAGATCTTTCCGAAACTTTTTGGAAGTTTGAATTCCAAATTTTCTTAGAACACCTTGCATTTATTATCACTATGATGATTCATACGGAGAAGGATTGAGCCACGCTTTCTCAAGACAATTAAGCGTTCTCGAAATTATAAGCTCCGATTTCCTCACGATGCTTTCCTTCATCATATGACAGTATGGTTATAGTGATCTCAAACAGTACATGTGTAAAAACAGGCTAAAAATTTAATCTAAAGCTGCCAAATAAAAATTAACTGTGATGTTGAATGTGGACTCTGGAATGTCATCCCTGCTTTGCATCAAACCTGCTTTTCTCCAGATATACTTTTGTCCACAAAATCGAGTAAGAAAAAGGATGAAGTAGGTATATATTATATACTTTTCTTGGGGCTATTCTTTTATATTGTTTTAATGGGTCTGGATAATAGTGATTGCAAAGGTGTGAGACAGTCATGCTTTGGCTCGAAAGGACCAGCTTGACCAGAGTAATAACACGGCCTCACAGAAAACCGGCGTGCAACGCCACTTGCGATGTATTCCACCGTGTTGGTGAGTTACTGGAGAACCAACCCCCTAACCCAAAAAGTATCTACAGGCAGTACCGATTGTTAATAATTAGGAGATGCCATAGCATGTTAGTCATCCCGATGCATAAAAACCATGTACCTAGTTCCAACAACAAACAAGTCATTAATTAATTGAAAACAATTTCCAAGAAAAATAACATTTGCATTTCTTTACCCTTTTCCTATAAACGTCAATCAGCTATAGGTACAATACAACCGGTAAAACCTATAACAATATAATTATGAAGCACAACCTATATAATGAACTAACTGCTCTTGCGCGGTTTCACCCGCTGCACGGCTCCATTTAATAGTAGCATGATGTTTTATAGCTTAAAGCACTCGGGAATATTGTGCTATCTATCAGTGAAAGAATTTTGGAAATCCGACCAGTGGTTTTAAAGTTTACCCCCGACATACAAACTTACAAATTTTACCTCTTTATAATATTATTATAATATAGTATAGGTTTTGCGGAAAAATAACTTTAGAGCGGCAGTTATCTGGCGACCGGCGACTTCACTGGTTGCTCGCGTTGTACTTGTTGATAAAATGTCGGACGTAACACAATATGTGGACGCTCATATTAACGCGACCAACATTACATACGAAGATGACTCTTCTACGCTGGAAAACAGCCAAGCAGATTTATATGTCAGGATCACTGGAATTGTCATCTCATCGTTATGCCTCATTCTACAATTAGTGCTCTACATAATCCGACCAAAAATTCGAAAATTGGACCAGAAGATTCTGACGCAGCTGACAGTGGCAAGAATGATGAACTCGGTAATGGAGATGTGTATGACCTACCAGTACTTCCATGAGTACTACACCAAGGACCTGGTGTTTGCGTTATATTTCCAAACGGATGCAGTGCTCATCTCATGGATGTTTGTGTTTACGAAGAATTTATACGAAAAAGTGGTTCTAGTGTTTGTGTTGAAAAAAATTAGGTTTTTAATACTGTCTCTGCTCATATGGATCTTTGCTATACCGATAGGAGTGTTATGCCCAGTGAGCCTCTTGGCAGACTTTTTTACAGATTTCTATAAAGTATACACATGGTTAAAGTTCATTGTTTTAACAATGAACCTTTTGTTTTTCGGTCGAATCTTTTACGTGATTATAAACAGGAACCAAAAGAGTAACGTGAACATGAAGGACATTATAAAGACTTGCATAATTTCCTTTATATTGGTATGCTTGACCAGTTTACAAGTTTTCATTAATGACATCTTGTCCTACTTGGAAGAGACTAAAGCGTCAACTATTTTATGTCTAATAAATATCTATCAAGTAGTGCCTGCTACGATAATATTTCTTATTCTGGCCAAAAATTGTATTTGAAATAAAACATGTAAGTATTTCTAGATAACATTACTTTAAAAATTAAATTTAACAATGAAAATGAAACAGGCGAATTTCAACAGGTCCAAAAAATCTTAATTTCCGTGGATCTTTTATTCTTCAACTTTAGAACAAGAAAAAATTGTGTTTTCTCAAGTTTTTGATAATATATGTTATCTTGCTTAATATCTAGACTAACTACTGACTGACTAAAAACTAACAAGATATTCAAGATTAAAAATGTCGTGCCACGGCGATGAAACTTGCGTGCACGGCATTGAAACTAACAAAAAAAAAAATTTACAAAAAAACAAACCGCCTTCAAAAAAAAGTCAAGCAATAAAAGTTCCTACACTAAAAAGTAAAAAATAAAAATTTGAACTGCTGTTAAGAAACTTAATTTATAGGTAAACTTATTTGACATTAATATTTTGCAAATATTCAAAATTTATTACTTATTTTTGGAGTCTTAATTTTTCTTTGTTCTTAATTGTTCTTAATTTTTTTGTTATATACTTATATACTTTCTTACTATACTTTCTTACTTATATACTTTCTTGTTCTTATTTTTTTTTTATTTGTTGCCGTTTAGTGTTTTTTTTTATTATAATGTGTTATTGTAACGAAGTCAATATCGTTCCTACATGTTTTTTGAAAAAGTTACCAATGTCATATAAGTAGGAATACATATCATAGGTACATTGTTACTGGCTAATCGTTTTGATCTCGAGAAGAGATGATATGATGCATGAAATACTTATGATTCTTATAGTTAAAATAAAAAAATAATCTTATCATAAATTCATATTAGTTCTCGCAAAATAACAAAAGCCTAGATATTTTCGTCAACAGACAGATAAAGTTCAAAGATACCAACGCTATGCAATCTATATTAGTATGATTAAATACATTCGTAGATAGAAAAAAGACCGATGCAATTATTGTTTTGTATCAATTGTAACCCATTAAATGAAGAAAACGATGTATTTTGTTATTTCTAAGAACATTCATATATAGACAAGTTGGTAAAGGTAAAAATACAAAAGACCACCGCTATTGTAAATATACATTTATGACTCATTCAATGTATGAACCTTTTTTAAGTATTATCTACATGTGCACACAAAAGAGACACACACAATTATTGTTTTGTACGACGCAATTATTGTTTTGTAACCCGACTGTTTTGTTAAAAATGCCAATGAATTCTCTTAGCCTATTACCAGGAAAACGATAAGAACACTATGACTCATTTTACCACTAATGTGTAAACGCAGTCCACGTGGACTAATGCAAAATAGCCAATACTAGGCCAAACTCCGCCCTCAAAGGTGTGCGGTCGCCGCTCTAGAACCTTTCATTTTATATGTATAGGTTTCGATTACAGTTTTACCATACTTCCAGATCTACATCGAACAATTGGACTATTGTATTGTATATTGGTTATATTATTGTGTGTTATAGTGATTTTATATTGCGTCTGCGTTGATTTTAAATTGATAATAAACAATATCTCCATTATGTCCATTTATTATTGCATCCACTGATAATCACCAATTAAGAGAGGCAACGGATTATATGTCAAATTAAATATATGGATTTTGTCATATTATTTCATATTAGTTGCTCAACTTATTAAGTTAATTTCGTTTTATTATTACCAATGTTTTTTTTATTTGTTTTTTTTGTGTTATGATACTTGTGTGTTAAATTTAAATTAATTTTTATTTTATAACCCCAATCACCACTACAGTGTTGGTCAATACTGTAATGATAGTGTGTATGTATAATTTTAATTGCTATGTAAGTAGATATTAATGCTACATAAGTCCATGTATGTATACTTCATGAATCTTTTATTGTTAATGTATTTTTGTATTCATTTAAAATAATTTACTATTTAATGTTAATCGTTAGTCTGTGCATGTTGTATTAGCCAGTAAGTAGTTATTGCACTTACAAATGTATTTCTTATATTTTTGTACATAAATGTTGGCTAGCCTAATAAATAAATAAAAAAATAATCGTGTATAGTCAGAAGGTTCCTTTTTCTGGAGCCCTGACCGCCGGTAGCTAGGACCCTGTTTCCGATACCGGTGGGGCACTATTTTTTATATTTTTAAATGTTATTTTATTCATTTTTTTAAAGAAATATTTAAAAGTGTAAATGTGTGTGTGTTGTTTTTTAACATATGTTTATATGTTAAAAAAAATTACAAAATACTATTTCTCTTTCTGGCTATTACAAAGTGAACAATGGCCATGTTCACAGATCAACCTAAATTCTTAAGTTGTCGGATTACACTCCACAGATAATGTTGTTACAAGTGTTGTATTTGTAAGATAATTTGGTGGCAGTTGAATCTAAACGCATACTCAATATAGCTTCAGATTAAAAATAAAAGTAACATGAATTATTTTCAAAACGATATTTTTATTTAATTAACCGCATATATCCGATAACGTTTTTTTGGAAAAACCACCCAACATAATTATCTTTATATTTTTAAATGGCTTTAATAAATAAAACACTACTATACTGTGCCAAAAATACTGCGCTACCAAATGCCATAGTAATTTGCCCAATGACCAGTAGGATAAAGTTCCAGTCTGTCGCTCTGCTACGCTGTACAACTGTTGTGTCTTGAAACTGATTGCATTTTCTTAATTCTAATTAAATTAAATCATTTATTTGCATAATGCACGTCTTATTTTATACAGGTACCTTTAGATGCGCAAACATTTATACAATCGTTAATCGAGGATTTATTACTTCTTTGGCATACATTTGCTCAGTGTTTTTTCCATGATATTTTATTGTCAACAGGAATTCCCAGCAACTGTGTATTTGTCACTGGATGTGATAAAGAAGGATGGAATTTAGTCTGGGAAACCAACCTTTACATTTATTCACTTCCTCCAGATAACTGTCTGTCTGATAACTATAATGAACTATTTAACTGTCTGATATCTAGTCGAAGTAAATAATATTTTATTTCACATTTATTTATACAAGTACAATATTATCGGTGAACCATTGTATAATTGCATTTAACGTTTGGTTCACTGTGTGCTTATAATAATTTTCTATGTCACCTTTTATTTATACTGCCAATAGTATCATTACTAGATTAATATGGTTAGGAAGATCATTGATGTATATATCAAGAACAATGAAGGTCCAAGGACACTACCTTGTGGTACTCCAAATATTATGTAGTTTTTGAGTTCGACTGGTGTTTAATGTCAGTTCATGTTTTCTGTGTTTACTTGAGTAAAAAGTCTTATTAATAACTTGTTTTCAGTTAGCTGGTAGCTACTATGGTAGCTACTATTTAAAAAGATATTGATAATGCCTCATCATCATCATAATCAGCCTGTTGTCGTCCACTGCTGGACAAAGGCCTCCCCAATTGCACGCCACTGAGCTCGATGTTCAGCTCTTCTCATCCAACCACTGCCAACCACCCTGCGGATGTCGTGATGATAATGCCTATACCCGATGATTTTAATATTTTGTAACAAAATTAAATAATTGTATGTGCATATAAATATAATGAAAACCTAAATGTTTTGGAAATAAAAAGCCTATAAAATATTTGCCGCCAAGTTTACCAACTACTGACACGAAGGTGGCAAACTTAATTATAGGAATAATAATCCTATTAACTTATATAAGTATATAGCCAGTATTTGAAACATTTTAATACATAGTATCTAAGTACCTACTGCTATATGGTTGTTCATTGTTTGCGTTCATATTCTAAATTCCACAATGTATAGGTACATTCAAACATAATCAAATATTTCTGTATCAGGATCATTTCTAGTATACATTCCAATCAATCAGTATTTTTATAAAATAATATCTACCTATGTCCGGATTTAATCCATTTACTTCTTTATTGTTATAAAATAAAGTTACTGGTCCGCGATTTCAAGTGCCTACCATTATTTTTCAAATAAAAATACGATCCGTTTTCTTTAAAAATTATTTATTGACAAAATTATACAAGTAGAATAACTAGAAGTTATATAACTTCCATTTAGTATCACTATTACAAGTTCAATATTGATGGCGAAGTTTCAAGTTTCTAAGCCACAGAATGTATGGTTAAAGCTACGTCCTAAAATTTATTCTACAAGGCCATTTATAGCATGGAAAATACAATTTTATTAGAAAATACGTTCTCCAGCTCCTTCTAAAAACTCATAATTCTTATTGCACATAAGTGAACTATATGAAAGATAGTAAGAATGTGTTATTTACCAGCTGATACTTCTTAAATACTGAGTGGAGCTCCCTCAAATTCAAGTGCACAAGGTTTGGCAGACGAAGAAGGAGATGGCTGGACGAATATGACACATTCGACGAGGATTAACAACAGAAAGGGTTGTGCAGAGAGGAGTAGAAGAAGGTCAGAGAGGGCATTGTCCTACAGGGGGACTAATAAAATACATTTTTCAAAATTGTTTTAGCTTATTAACTATGAGATCATCGTTAGCAATATTATAAAGTACTAAGGGTTTCAGAAGTCAAAGTAGGATACAAGTGATAGTTTTTGCAATTTAAACGCCCATCTACACAAATGCGATTAGAGAAACTAAAAAGCGCTTCCAAACTCTAACCAAAATAATTATTTCTTTAGGGCCTCACAATAATACACAATTACTGATTTGAGCATTAAATTAAACTTAAAAATGATTTCTTAATCCAGTATTAAGTACAAACTTTCTTTTTAAAAAAAGTTGCTCCGTATAAGGAATAACTCCTATGTTATAGTATTTACAAACATACAATTTCAAATACACATCACACCCATACTCGGAACAATAATTTGTTGATCATATAAGGAATTGTCTCGTGCGGAAATCGAACCCGCGACGGGTTATACGGCAGCTAGTTGTCCAGCCACCATGACAGTCTCTCGCAGCAGTCATAACTTTGACACCACTTCATTTAAAACACACAAAACAAATTTAAGTAGTCCTTGAATGTTGCTTAGACTTCAAACATATGTAAAACATTGAAACACACAAAAAATTTAAACATACCTCCATGACATCATAATGAGACTAAACTAGATTCACACATACTAATTAAAAATATATTTAGATGGATATGCACACAATTCTATAGATAAACTTAATCAATTACAATTTATAGTAAGAATAATGAATATCACTGTGGCAGGTACAACTTGG